CAGGGTAATTCTAAGTACCATATCATGCCTGATATAAATCAAAGCACAGAAGGCGCTGAATTTGTTTGGGTCTCAGCATGTAAGAAAGGTGCAGGTTGTGAGATTATATGTATAGTGCCACCAATGCTTTCCAGCGTTTTAATTGTAGTAAATTGGCTATAAGACTTATTGCAACACTGATATTCAATCCAATGATTATTTGACTTTAACAATTTGAAAAAATATGAGTTACCTTTACTGGGATTTGAACTCCAGACCTCTCGCTTCCGAAGCGAGCCCGAAAACCCTTCAGCCACGGTGAATTTATATGTGAACGGCCTGAATAAAACCATATTATTCTAAATTAGGGCTTGTAACGACTTCAACTGTTGTTAAACACATGTAAATAGTCCTGGAGCTTACTATAAGCATGTATATTTATAAAGAATCAAAGGGCTGCAAGTTCTGTGGTATTTTCTGATCTTTGCAATCTAAATTGTACTGTATATATGTATGCATTTCTATGTATAAGTTTATTTTTATGTATTATAATTCATTTTGCAAGGCACCAGAGTTTGTTACATACGGATTTCTGCATAACTAGAGTTGCATCAAAAAACATTTATGTTCATTTTTTACGACAGCCAGACTTTATCCTTGCATATCATGGCTACTTCCTAAACAAAGACACTTAAAAAAGAATTTAACAAAAAAAAAAAGTTTCCTCGACTGGGATTTGAACTCGGGACCTCTCACTCACTAAGCGAGCGCGTTACCACTGTACCACGGCAAAGTTACTCACACTCATCTGAATAACATCAAGTCATTCTAAATTTAGAACTTCCATTGCATTTCGGGTTTGTAATCCTTATTAATTTCGAGGTATTTTGTTCAGGATAAACCTGTTGTTTTAAATTGAAGTAAATATTTTAGCGAAAATCTTCTCGCCCAAACAGTCCGACATGTAGAATCTATATATTCCACTTTTCGGTTTGTGTAGTATTCGGTAATCAACACCGCTAAAAATAGTATTTTCATTGATAAAATCATATTCATCCGCGTAATTTGTGATTGTGCATTTATTGACAATTCTATAAGCCAACGCTATTGTTTAACTTTGAATGCGTTGTAATTTGTTGGATACTTGTAACAAAATAAAATATTTCTTTCTTTTAAATCGCTAGTTTTAAGCTGTTTTGAGAACTACTTGTTGTTAGGTTTGTCGTAAACTTCTGTGTCAGAGATTGAATGTCCGCTTTGTAGATCAGAAAATACAATAAAACAATATTAGAAATCTTCGGCCATTCGGGAATTACTTTGCTTGAAAATTAATGCGCCTGTCTTTGACCATCTTTACGCAGTGATCTCCCCTGAATGTTTCGGCGTTAGAGTACATACAAAAGGGAAGTAACCGCTTCAAAAAAGTGGACTACTTTCGGCATTTGCAATTAACAACATTAGATTCTGAAATTTCGCTACCATTATTTGTTTGGTCTGACGACCCAAACAAATAAAAAAATTATTTTGATCCTAAAGATGTCTTTAAACTCATCCAAAAGATTAATGTAAATAAGGCTTCTTGCCAGGGATGTTATATTTCCGATCCTTAAAGATCGCTTAGCACGACATTATTTTTTGTGCTTGTGGTATTTTCAGTTTTTTTATTTGGCTATTTTCTAGTTGTTTCAGTGTTTTGAATGTCAAGTTTATTATCAATGTTAGATTCATAGGATAAGCCGATTTTTGTTGAATATACTTTATTAGTTGAATTGCATTGTGTCCGTTTCCCTTTTTATACAATATCTAAAATCAGCTGGTATAACTATTTTATTCTACAAATACAGTTTCAATTTTTATTTTTATTTTTGTATTAAATCCAGATAAAAATGTTGTAACATTTTTATCTTTAATGATCCCGGCATATATTTTTCTCGTTAAAATGGCCTCAGAAATGTAATTTTAACCACGGACTTTAACTTCAACACATGCCATGATGAACGCTTCAGACCCAATTGCTTTTCCTATTATTATATTTTTATTTGTTTGTGTCGTCAGAATTTCAGACTCTGATGCTGTTAATTGCAAATGCCGAAAATAGACCGCTTTTTTGAAGCGGTTACTTCCCTTTATATGTACACTAAAGCCGAAAAATTCAGGGGAGATCACTGCGTAAAGATGGTCAAATGACAGGCGCATTAATTTTCAAGCAAAATAGTTCCCGAATGGTCCAAGATTTCTATTATTGTTTTATTCTTTATAGATATACATGCTTATAGTATGCTTCATGATGTTAAACAACAGTTAGTGTCGTTACAAACCCTATTTTAGAATAATTTGGTTTTCTTCAGGCCGTTAACATAACTTCACCGCTGCCGAGGGGTTTGCGCGCTCGCTTAGGAAGCGAGAGGTCTGAAGTTCAAATCCCAGTTAAGGCATCTTTTTTTTCAAATTGTTTAAGTCAAATAAACATTGAATTGAATATCAGTGTTGCAATTAGTCATATAGCCAATTTACTACAATAAAAACGCTGGAAAGCATTGGTGGCACTATACAAAAACAAATTGGTTTATAATCTCACAACCTTCACCTTTCTGACATTCTGAGACCCAAACAAATTCAGCGCCTTCTGTGCTTTGATTTCTTTACGTTTTACCAGCACTAATCTAACGCAATCGTAGCTTCTCGGCTCTTTCCGCCAATTTTCCGATTGGTTAGTCTGGATTATTACCTGTCCTATACTAAATTTTATAGTTCGACGGGAACCAGACTAACGTACGTAGTTGGGCACGGCCCGGGTCAACTCGGCACGGGTCAACTCGGCCCTATAATAAAAACTTAATAGGATATAGATTGTTTAGTTAATAAGTTTTTAATGGAGTAAACTTCTAGATAATTATTTAGAGTAATGGTCAATTGAAAAATTCGGCTTACAATTATCTTTCTTTAAAGTAGACATATCAAGACAATTAAGATGTTTTTATGATTGATACATAAATAAAGTTTTTGGTTGAATTTTGTGACAATAAATGTAATCATATTAAGCAATGTTTGTTCTTTATAGCACCCAATGCTGTTTGAACGATATTTTCTGCAAAAAATTCTGAAGTAGGCAAAACATAATTGTCATTTCTCTGCAAAAATAGAGAAAATAAGAATCCCTAAAGAATTTAAAGTCCAAAACGGCAAAATTGAAAATGTTTGAAAATTCCGGACCATGTGTTTGACATTTCGGATCATGCGTTAGACACTTCGGACCATTGTTTTGGACATTCCGAACCATGTGTTGGACATTTGGAATCATGTGTTAGACACTTAATTCTGACAATTGTTTTGGACATTTCGGATCAGAATATTTTTTTTTCAATTATTCTATAAACTAAAGAGTAACTTTAGAATATATGAGACACCATGGAACGATTTTACACCTATGCAATTTATATTTTATATATTTTGCCCTATAAATGAAGAAAATTAAAAACACAAACGGAAAAAAGCAATGTCGATCGACGTGTTGGTGACACACGTTTACAAATATTTTATCATAAGTATATACAAAAAGACATGACGAAATAGACGAATAGTTACTTAAACGAGTTCTATTCAGCAATTAAAATATGTGAAAAACTGCATTGACAAGGATGTTGTTGTTCTTTAATACCTATCATTTTGTAAAAATTGACTTGAAATAGGTATATTCAGCGTGTGTGGGTAATTATTGTACATGTGTATTATTAAACAGTTGATTAAACATGTGCGTAACTCAATTTCAATTCTTTTAGATAAGTTAAACATAGCATCATAATCTATCATTTGTATGAAGGGCATTCGCATAAATATATCCAACGCTAACAAATATACATGTACATGTAGATCTAATGGTATTCTATTATTGTTTTAACATTTTTTCAATATTAAAAAATGTCAACAAATAGAAATTCATAAATGAATTATGATATAAATATTTTACATGGATAATCAAAACAATAATATATAAGCTTGTCGGGAAATGTGAAAATCTCGTCGGACTGGTCTTTTCTGCAGGAAAAGAGTCAACTCGGCCCTATACCAACTCGGCACGGGTCAACTCGGCCCACTTTACAAAAATATAGATAACTAATTAACTTTGCTTTGCATGTTGTTAAGGTAAATGAATAATAAGAAATATCTTATTATTATATAATTATACATTGTTCTTCTGCCGAAATAAAGTATATTTAGAAAAAAATGTTATTTTAAAATATGTCTTGCAGATTCGATAAAATTAATACAGATCTAATAAAAATGTGTTTCCTTAGATGCATTTTGTTTGTAAAGTAATATTATAAAAAATATGAAACAAAAACGTGTTTACTTAATATCATAAGCTTCTATATAAGCACTGTTTGCTCTTTGTTATATATTTATAAACTCTCTAGAGCTGTCTCCACCAATTGACAGTCTCTTTATGAACTACGTAAATAACCGAGGTAAATCGGGTGAAAAAAAAGAGTTGTTTCCCTTAGTTTCCTTTTATTTAAATTTACGGTTAAACCTACCACGAGTCAGAAATACAGTGAGATACTCAATCGGTTATCTTTACTCGCAATTCTACTGATAAGAAAAGCCTGTCTGCTGCTAGTTCGGAAACTGTCAATCGGTGTATTATAAATAATTACAATAATTACAATAAATAGTGATAACACAAACCTACATATTAATAATTGAAATGTGGGCCGAGTTGACCCGTGCCGAGTTGGAATAGGGCCGAGCTGACTCGGGGGCATTTATCATAAGAAATCATTGTAATAACACCCTTAAATAACAAAACAAATATAGTCCCAAAATCTGGTCCGAAATGACCAAAAAATCTGGTCCGAAGTGTCCGGTCCGATACGTCCGTGGTCCGAAATGTCCGTAATTCGTTGGGGGGCGTTGGGTTACCTCCCTTCATTTTTCTGAAAAGTAGACTGGTCTCCGGGTTTCCCAGCGTACTTCAATAAAGATCAAAAATGGGACAGGGAACCGGTCCCCTTCTAACAAGGAAGTGGCAAGGTAATGGAAATATTTGTTTTTGGCAAAATAAAGCACTTTACAATGTTGACAACAAGGTCTGCTGGTCTAAGGTAATAACATATATATAAATATGTACACACATATATACTGGCAAGTTAGCCCAAATATTTGAGACTACTGGCAAGTTGTGTTCAACTTCAGCACATTTTTTCTAAAAATGAATGAAAGTTTGAAACTAGGGCAGACATATAAAGAAAACAAATTGTGCGTACTGTAGTGTTGTTATTACAACTTTCTAGTTTTTAGGATGGTCAAGACAAGGTGACATAATTTGTGGGCACACTTTGTGTTCAGATTGAACCCCAGCAATCTATACATTTTTAAGATGGATTTGAATCTTAATAACTTGAAAGATTCTAGATTCTAGAAAAGATTTTTAGCTTGATTGATAGAAAACTCATGTTTGTGGTTGGGGTGGTGGTCTAAAGTAAAACGGTATCTGCTGTTGATGTCATACGGTATTGGTTACCTAGTCTAAAAGTTTTGACAGATACAGTACTGGCATGTATAGTCCAATATATTACTATTAGACATTATACAAGCTTTAGTACAGTGATTTTTTCCCCAATTTTTAAAACAACCTGTGGCTTTCTGAAGGAGAAAATATAGTGCAATAAATCAGAAAAGGGGGAAAACCTGAAATCAAATTTCATCAACTGAAAATGGAATTTACCCACACATTTTACAGTTTTATGAAAAAAATTAATATCAATTCAATTAAACATACATGGTACATAGCAGAGGCTATCTATAGAGATAGCTTTCCGTCTTCTAGCAGATATAAGTCAGATGCTGTTAAGTCATGGGGTCTGGTAAGGAAGAGCACGAGGCATTTTAGGGGAAAATATTAGCATTTTTAGGGGAAAATATACCTGTTTTGGGCTAGGGGAAACAGCCTTTATTCGGCTGTAAAATACAGTGAAAAAAATCACTGCTTTATATGACAATCATACACTATACAAAGCTTGTAATGTCTAATATATCTTTGTCTACAAATCATGGATATGCCAGTATGTTCTTAATAAACCATTTATCTGTACACAGGTGGCATTACTGAATAACCCTTTTACCGTCCTTATATGACAGTTTTTTGCGCGTGTGCACAAGGACAAATGCCCCAATGTTTAGGTCACGTTTTGACAACACACAGGTGAAAGTGATTTAAATGAAAAATTTTGTGTACCTATTGCCAAACTGACACTTAGATTTTGTCAAATTCAGGCATCTGCTTGATTTGTTGATACCAATTTTAAAAGAACACAGGTAAAAAATAAAGGTTTGCACGAAAAATACAGGTACTGCTTTTGTAAAGGAACTACTCACATGCCAGTTCTGGTTGGATAGATAACTCAGACTCTTGATAAATATTTTTGTTTTAACTTTGTTTTTTAACAAAAAAGCACATGGTCACCTACATTGTAGTAATACAGGAGCAGGACAGACCTTGATATGGGACATAATATATTAGGACAAGCAACTGGAGATTAGCACCAATACTTTGATAAAGCTGTATTGATTCATTTGTATAGACAAAATAGGGATACAAATTTTTATCAAACACCCGACTACACAAAAAACTGTAATCATCCCATCTACCTCTTTAGGTGTTTAGAAAACTTGAAAAAGGTGTCAGATGCATACTTAAGTTAATAGTCAAAAAGCCAGTAAAACATTGTACCATTTAACGCTAAATTGAAACCAGAAATTACTTTTTTGCCAATAGTAAATTCTGTGTTCCATTGCCGCTTCATTGTCATAACTTGATAACTTGTTGATATTGGTAGTCAATTTATTATCAAGGCAAACCGTTGTCTTCATAATTGATTGTATACCTATTCCTAATTAATGTGATGTAAAATTAAAAATTCAATTGAATACTTATGTTAATAATAGTATTAGTAATGAAACAAGGGCAAATAAATGTAGGATTGGCAACTTGATGGACAAAATAATAACGTCTTTATTAAAAGGGCAAGCCCATTCTTCCTGTGAGCCTCTATCATAATGTACAGTTACAATGAATATATAAATAACAAAATATTAACAGATAAATTATACAGCATTAAGCCTATTACAACATTCATATGTAACTGAATTCTAGTGCTTAAATATTGATTGAATTTTTTTTACCATATCAGCTATCTTTTGTTGTTTTGTTGTATTAATTACTGTAAACTACTTTTTTAACATCTTCCTTCCTGTTAAAATTTGTTGTAAAATAGGTTGAATGAATAAGGTTTTTTTTTTTTTTTTTTTGGGGGGGGGGGGTTACCTCTATTTAAATGTCCTTATTTTAAATGACTGTGCATAAAATAACTGCTAAATTTGATTTAAGAAAAATGTAGCTAAGGGCCACATTTTTCATCAATTCTTGATGGGTTTAAATTCACTTCAGGTTTCTTTCATAATTCATTCAGTCAAAATCTAGGTCACTTAGTCAAATCTTAAGAAAAAAATATATACATGGACAATATATACTTTGTGGCACAATTACAGCACACATTTTTACTAAAAATGGAAAAATTCAAAAACATAATAATATGCCAGCATAAGAACAACATTGAAAAGTTATCTACCATTGTACCATAGGTATGTGACAATACCTAGTATTGAATATTATGAGAATCTTATAATGGGGGAAGATCTGTTTTCAAAGGTAAATGTACCAGGCTAGTTTTTCTTTCCTTCAGACACCTTGACTTACCATTTTTCTTAGCAGTATCAGTTTTTGAGAATATTTTTTTGATTAATATGAATGTGGTATTTTGGTTACATTTTGATTTATTCGGGGAAAAGCAAAAAGGGTTTAAAAGATAGTTCATTTTTCCTTGTACATGTAGTTTGGAGGAAAAAAATTGCTGGAAATTTATTTTGACCTTATAATGAAATTGTTGAAAAAAAACTTATCAGTTGAAGAAGTTTTTGATTGGTTAATAATGTTTCTGTTATAAAATCATAGCTAGTAAAGGAAATAACCTCTAAGGGAAATTTCAAGTGTTTGACAATCAGACTAAAATCACTGTTGATTATCAAATTGAATCTGAAGGATACAATCAAATAAAGTCATGAATTAATTAAGATTTTACACAGAATGTTCTAATCACTTCATAAAACAAACTGATTATCCAAAGTATTCTTGTTAAGTTATTTTCATACACACTTCTAAAAACTTGTATATACTTCACTAAAGTGCTTTAACTTGTTTCATACTTTGCTTATTTAATAATCATGGTAACGTATATTGATATTTTAGAATAACTATTGATAGTCACTGTCACCAGACTTATACCAACATTTTTGTGTCGCCTCTACGGAGTAGTGGCGACATATAGGGATCACTTCTCCGTCGTCTGTCTGTCCGTCTGTCTGTCCGTCACAAAACTTGTCCGGACTACTCCTCATAAACTACTGGTGCAATTTCATCCAACTTTACAGGAATGATCAGTACCAAGTCTAGTTGTGCATATTGTCAGCATTTTCCGGTTCAATGATTTTTGTCAGAGTTATGGCCCTTTAATAATTTTTAATTTTAAAGTTTGTCCGGACTACTTCTCTTCTACCACTAATGCAATTTCAATGAAACTTTTCAGGATTGATCTGTAGCTCAAGTCCTTGCGCATATTGCACGGGTTTTCCGGTTGAATGATTTTTTGCGGAGTGATGGCCCTTTGATAAAAAGGTGTTTTTTTCTGTGTGTTGCCAGATACACAAAAGCTTGTCCGGACTACTCCTCATAAACTACTGGTGCAATTTCATCCAAACTTTACAGGAATGATCAGTACCTAGTCTAGTTGTGCACTGTCCGACTGTCTGTCCATCTGTCACAAAACTTGTTCCAACATGAAATTGGCCATCATGAGGCGACACATGTGATCACTGATTGCTCTTGTTTTTAGCTCACCTGAGCATATGCTCTTGCTGAGCTATTAGGATCACTCTTCGTCTGTCGTACATCGTCCGTTGTCCGTTCACTTTTAAAACAACATCTCCTCTGAAACCATAAGGCAGATCATAATGAGACTTCACAGGGATGTTCCTTGTATGAAGCCTTAACAAAGTTGTTCAAAGAATTCCATTCCATGCAGAACTCTGGTTGCCATGGCAACCAAAAGAAAAAACTTTAAACATCTTCTTCTAAAAAATCCAAAGAGCTAGAGCTTAGGTATTTGGCATGAAGCATTTTCTAGTGAGTGTCTACCAAGTTTGTTCAAATAAAAGCCCTAGGGTCAAAATTGGCCCCGCCCCAGGGGGTCATTGATTTTCCCTATATGCATATAGTAAAAACTTTAAAAAATCTTCTTTTAAAGAACCCAAAGAACTAGAGCTAAGATATTTAGCATGAAACATCTTCTAATTGGTGTCTAACAAGTTTGTTCAAATAAAAGCCCTTGGGTCAAAATTGGCCCTGCCCCAGGGGGTCATTGATTTTCCCTATATGCATATAGTAAAAACTTAAAAAATCTTCTTTTAAAGAACCCAAAGAGCTAGAGCTAAGATATTTAGCATGAAACATGTTCTAATGGATGTCTACCAAGTTTGTTCAAATAAGAGCCCTGGGGTCAAAATTGGCCCCGCCCCGGGGTCATTGATTTTCCTTAAATGTGTATAGCAAAAACTTAAAAAAACTTCTTTGAAAAAAAACCAAATAGCTAGAGTTTAGTTATTAAGCACGAAGCATCTTCTAGTGAGTGTCTACAAAGTTTGTTCAAATAAAAGCCCTGAGGTCAAAATTGGCCCCGCCCCGGGGGCCATTCCTTTTCCTTATATGTGTATAACAAAAACTTTAAAAAATCTTCTTTGAAAAAACTCAAATAGCTAGAGTTTAGTTATTTAGCACGAAGCATCTTCTAGTGAGTGTCTACAAAGTTTGTTCAAATAAAAGCCCTGGGGTCAAAATTGGCCCCGCCCCGCAGGACATTGATTTTCCTTATATGTTTATAGCAAAAACTTAAAAAAACTTCTTTGAAAAAAAACAAATAGCTAGAGTTTAGATACTAAGCAGGAAACATCTTTCAAATAAAAGCCCTGGGGTCAAAATTGGCCCCGCCCCGGGGGTCATTCCTTTTCTTTGAAAAAACCTGAATAGCCAGAGTTTAGATATTAAGCATGAAACATCTTCTAATGGGTGTCTACAAAGATTGTTCAAATAAAAGCCCTTGGGTCAAAACTGGCCCTGCCCCAGGTGTGTCATTGTTTTAAACTATATGTCACATATCTTTACAGTAAAGAAAAAAACTTGACCAGCTAGACCTTAGATGTTAGGCATGAAATATCTTCTAATGGGTGTCTACCAAGTTTGTTCAAATAAAAGCCCTGGGGTTTAAACTGGCCCCACTACGGGGGCCTATATACAGGTGAGCGACTTCAGGGCCATCATGGCCCTCTTGTTTATAGTTTCCGAGTATAAGTCTGACACTAGAAAATGCTTAATAAATTTGAGCCGCGTCACGACAAAACCAACATAGTGGGTCTGCGACCAGCATTGATCCAGACCAGCCTGCACATCCGTGCAGTCTGATCATGATCCATGCTGTTCGCTTACCAATTCTATTACAAGTAGAGAAACTGATAGCGAACAGCATGGATCCTGATCAGACTGGGTGGATGCAGAGGCTGGTCTGGATCCATGCTGGACGCAAACTCATTATGTTGGTTTTGTCGTGACGTGGCTCATTTATCATTATTAAAGATGCAAAAACTTTTACACATGAAATTTGATAATATTTTATGGAATAGATATATATGTACAGTAAAGATGACTCAGTATTATAAGGGTGTTGGATATTTTAATACAGACATAATGTTTACAAATTGTACAAAAATCTGACTTTGCAATTCCTGGCACAACTGTTGGCACAGCTTTATTGTTAAAAATTATGAAATCATGAGAAAGTTAAATAAAAAAAGAAAAACAGATCTATGGGGGATTTGGCTTTAAAAAGCATGGGATTTGGACCAAAAGTAGGGGAGTTAAAAATTATAATTTATCAACTAGCTGATCTTGAATATAAGTCAGCTGCTGTTAAGTCTTGGTTAGTGGAAAGAATATCATTTTTAAGTAGAAAATATTGTGGACTAGAGTGAACAGCCTTCATTCAGCTGTAAAATATATGGGGAAAAAGTCACTGATAACTCATGCCCACTTGCATTAGCTAAACCTAAAGTCTGCTGGTGGCAACAGTGGACAACCAAAGTACAGACCAAGATCAGCAGGCACATCTATGTGCTCATGGTATACACTGTCCAATTTTCAGTCAATTTATATTTTCGTTAAAAATGATTAATGGTTTTGCAGAAATTGAAATATGGACAAGTTCATTTAATTTATTTGTTAGTGGCACAAGGGCATTATCACATGGGTGCAAGTTTTCAGACATATGCCTGAAGCTCCGGTTTTTTGTGACAAATTTCATCATGTTTTACTATTAGATTATGTAGGAAAATGATTATGAATTACGGTATTCATGTTTTTCCAAATTTTCAACTTGCACCAATGTTATCAAGCTTTAAAATCTGTGTTAACAATTAACTTCATTTATTGCACACAAATAAGTCACTTTGACAAAAATACTTTACATATCTAAAATGTTTCAGGTAAAAAAACAAATGTAACTTTTTTATGTAAGATTTGTTATATAAATAAAGATTCTGTTTTTCAAAATTTAATGCACTGACAGTCAAAGTCAATTTCAGGTAATATTAAAGCATCAGATTTAGATTAGAATAAACATGATTGTATGGAAAAAAAAAATATATTGATGGTAATGTGCTGAGCATGGGGGCAAGCAATGCTTTTTATCCCAAACTTAAATTTATTTTCAGTACATGAACTTAGTAACATGTAATATGCTCTGCAACAATCCGAAATGTGAGTTTTTCCAAGCTTATCCCCCAGAAGAAACAAAGTTTTACTCTTATGGCTTCACACTGCACTACAGGTTACAATAGATTAGTTAACCTGTTGTGCTTTTTTTCAAAGCTGTAACTATAAAAGTTTGTTTGTACTCCAAAATATTTTTAATTCTGGAGTAAGTCTATTATATGAATACTTTCAGCAGTAATGCTTTGAGTTCTATTCTGATGCCTCATAGAGAGAGCCAAGGGTTTGCTGGTTGAATCCTTGGACAAGGCGTAATTTCCCTATGATCATTAATCTCGGGCATGGAGTCTAATAGATGTTTATCTCTCACCACTATACAGAAATCATTTGCCAGGATTAGCTGGTTGTCACTTGTGCAGAAATTAATAGTTACTGGTTTATTTATCCAGGAAAACTGGTTAGATGGATATACCTCAGAGATATGACCAAAAATGTTTTAAATTGGCATTAAAATACTGGAAAAAAAACACACACAAAAAACCCAAAAAGATGGCTTGGCTGATGTTTTATTAAGTTGGCATGGATGCTCATTACATGAACCTTTCATACTTATGCTACTGTTAAAAGTTAAGATAAATTTGAAAAATCTTAACTGATGGATGGGTACCAATTAAAATTAAATACACTGTAATGTTTCGCTTCAGTAGTTAGTTTGAAAAAAAACAAAAGCATGTAACAAATCAAAATATCATCCAATTGAAATTAATGCCCAAGTGAAATGTAGTAAAAGTACAATATTATTGGCGACGCCTGTCAGCGGCGTCGTCTATTATGTAATGCTTTTTATTTTTGCCTATGGAAGGAGCTGTTATTATTAGCAGTTAATTTCATGTTGTGTTAATTAGTTTTATTTTGATTCGTAAAAATCAAGTAAACAAATGTGTTGTTATATTTGTATTTAATAACTTTATGTAAAAAGCATGTGCATTGTGATATTATTTTCACGAAATTGCAGGTTAAGTTTAACAGCTTGTCCCTTAGTTTTATTGACAATACTAAAACCCGGATTTCGAATATCGTTGTGGTCTAGATTGAGGCCGAATCAGTTCATTCATTCATTTATACATTTTCAAAATTTTCCTACAAGAAGAAAGTTCACCTGCAATTGAGTATAAGAATAGGTAATGGAACTGTTGTAAACGATTATCCTATTGATTTTATCCTTATTACATTTATCTGTTGCGCAGAATGGTTGTTTTTACAAAGTGTACCAGTATCCGGATGTTGAAAGCTATCCGATTTTCTGCAATTACTGCTGTCACATGGCCATCTATTTTTTATGAATACTTTACCATTAATTTGCATGGCTTAATAAAACTGAGCATGCAGCATTTCATAATTTTGCTGTTTAGGGTGTTCTTTTGGGTTTCAGGTTTTCTCTATTTTAAGGGGAAGTAACTCATGTTTACTAAATTATTTGTTGTTTTCTGTCTATCTTAGGTATTACTTATAATACTATTTCTGTCGTATATAATTCACCAGTTGTAAGGTCATCAAAAGCATGTTAATGTTAATGTTAGGATTTCATATTTATTTAATATAAACTGGGAATTATTAATGTTATGTGCATACATGTATATCTTAGACTGTAGTATATTAATATGTTGAGACTTATAATTTTTCTGCATTTAAAGAGATACAGTTATGTCATTATTATTAAAGGGATGAGACTTTCATTTAAAGTTATAAATGATAAAACATGCATTGATTGAAAATGTCCTTAAACTTGGATCAAGCAATATAATTAATAAAGTCTCAAAAAATCATATTCTGAATAGTTATTCTATTTTTTTCTAACATGTGCATAGTTTGAAAAGGACTGCTTCTGTCTTATCTATTTGTAATGAAGGGACACCGGTCTCAACCTCCAGGTCTCCTGAGTCAACCCGACAACAGACTGTACATAGAGTAGATTGTTACTTGCCCTTGAATAAATTTGTGCACTAAATTTATAGTGGGTAATTTGTGCCACATGAAAACCAACATAGTACAAAAAGTAACCGGGCGCCAGATGAAAACATGAAAATACAATCTACCACAAAGTGGTTTGTTTGTTGCATTTTCATGTTTTTGCCCGGTGCCCTTGATGCAAAATACAAATCAGCCTTCATAAAATTTCTTATGTTGGTCACAGGTTTGAGTTCTGGTCAAGCTCAAAGTTTTTCTCAATCTGTGACTGCATGTAAGCATGAGTTCAATTTCCTATGCTCTGTAACATAAGAAATTCACGGACACAAATCGATATAGTGGGGAAATATGTTGTGGTTTAGAACTGTTTCATTATTAAAGAGAAAATGTGTAGCCGGCCGGATAGCTCAGTTGGTCTTCTGAAAGTCATGGGTTCGAGTCATGGTCAGGCAGTTTCAGTCAGGGTTTAGAAGTGGCTTTTCAATTGACACATGTTTGATTCATTTAACAGATTGCATTATTTGAAATGGACAAAGGCAGTATTGCATGATACTTTTAGATCTACAAAGGGCATTTGATACAGTTGAACACACTATACTGCACATGAAGAAGTTGTTTTTCTTCTTCTTCATGAAACTTCAAGCATCTGCCATATATAATGACATTCTTACATGGTTTAAGTCTTATCTCTGATAGACCGCAGCTGGTGGATGTGGCTGGTACTCATTCTACTACTGCTCTGAGTACCTATGGTGTCCCCCTGATGTTCATTTAAGGTCCTCTTTTATGTCTAATATATGTCAATGACATGTCTTCAACCCTAAGCAATAAGCTTTTATTATAATGCACAGGCACGAGTATCAGACCTGGGAAGAAAAAATATGGCCAGATTGATAAAAAAAACCTGTGTTCATCTTAAAAGTGTCAACAACCAAAATAGTTGATAGTATATTTTTAAAGGGGATCATTATTTACATTTTTTTTCTGTTTTTTATAAACACAGTTTTTTTTATCAATCTGGTCATCTGGTCATATTTTTTCTTCCCAGGTCCGATACTCGTGCCTGTGATTATATGCTGATGACTCAGGAACCCTTGTGTCTCGTAAAATAAATCTGAAGAAATTCTTTCTTATAGCATGAGTCTTATAAGATTGCTTAATTGACTATAAATTGTCTTTGCATCTTGGCAAGACAGAGTCTGTTCTTTATTGGTTTAGGTTTCAACTTAAACTGGCCCTAGCCTCCAGGTCACATGTAATGGTACTGCTATAAAGTACACATCTTTTGTTAAGTATTTAGGTGCAAATCTGGATCAAATTCTTTTGGCGTCGCCCTTTGATGCTTTGCATCAATGCTTTTCTTGTATATTCTAACACACCCGCATTTTCCGCATTTATAACAAAAGTGTGTGTTATTGTGCAACAAATACACTGTTGACATTCTATATATATAGACATGTGACAAAACCATTATGACCAAACCATTAAAAATGCGACGGGCTGAAAATAAGTACGTAAACAAATCAGGCTCAATTTAACTTGATACCTGGTACATGTACGGCAGTATTTATTTGTTGATATTGTGTTAGAATCAAAATAATATATCCAAATCAGTGCCCTCCTCATATAATTCCCAGCATCCAAACTCCAAACAGTGATTTTATTTAGCGATTATATCACTGTTTTTTCGGATATAATATAATATTTCTTAATTATGGATTTATTGTAATAGAAGGCCTGCTTAACCTTTGATATTGTTGTCCATGTATATTATTCTCACAGTTACAAAATCGTGACTTAATTTCCTTCTTTTGTTTTCAGGTCAAGTTGTTTTATTGAAGTCTGGAGGATTGTACAAAACAACCCCACTAAAACAGGACACTACCATTGTACAATGAAGGAAATAACCACTCTGTTAATGTCAAGTATTTTTGTATGAAAATCATCATACACCCCTATTCATAGATTTGAGTGAATCTGAGTTATGTATGTAGATATACCATTGTGATTTTATAGGGTGTTCAGGACTTGTTTGTATCTTTGTTGACTGAAGTGGTACAATGTACATCTAGTGACATACAAAGCAATTTTTTTCTGCAAAATCAGCTCAAATTATTAAGTTTTTATAAACAATTGATTTTTCAAAAAAAACACACAAAAAAACAACAAAAAAACAAAACATGATAAATGCATCTAGAATGGAAGAAACATCGCATGAAGAACAATAGGCGTGATTTTCAAAAAATGAAATTAATGTGAAATGAAAATAATGACAAATGACTACTTATAGAGGATATGTTGTGAAAATAACAATAATATACATGTAGATTAACAAGTTTTAAAGTGTAAGAGAGGACAATGAAGATCAGGAAAATAGGAATTCTCCAATTATGGATTTTGATAATATCAGTAAGTATTGTGTTGATTTTTGTTTCCATGTAATCTTGTATAATTTCATGTAAAAATTACCATATCAAATAAATCATAACAGTGCTGGAATCAAAATTAATAAGCCTTAGTCACCTGTATAGAGCCGGTCCAGCCGGCAGTGCACATCCGGGTAGTCTGCCAAGACTCTATACTGTCGGCTGATCAACATAAAAATTTCATCTTGATATCCAAAAATTTTATAGTGAATTTAAGCTTGACAAATCCATTGAAGAAAAGGCAGCATGTTGATCAGATGGTTTAAGGAACTGCATATCAGAACACTGATGGAATCACTTAGTCAAAGTAAATCTGAAATATATGTATGATTTGTGTTGACCATTGTTAAATTTTACAAAAGAGCCGCGTCACAACAAAACTAGCATAATGCGTTTGCGACCAGCATGAATCCAGACCAGCCTGCGCATCCGCGCAGTCTGATCAGGATCCATGCTGTTTGCTTACCAACTCTATTACAAGTAGAGATACTGATAGCAAACAGCATGGATCCTGATTAGACTGTGCATATGCGCAGGCACAAATGTAGGTAATATAAATAAGTATTATATTTATATTCTTTGTTCATATCAAATAAAAAGACAAATATTATGATTGTATGAAACAAACTCTTTTGTAATAAGAAATTTCTGCGGGACTCTTAAGAAAAGATAAAATAAGTTTGATTGACAGTATATTATGTCCGTCTTTTCCAGGTTCATGGTGTGGTTGTTCATCCATTTGAGTCTAAAAATAAACATGGTCCACAAGACAATGGATTAACAACAACAATTGTCAAGAACACATATGATGAGGATGAGTTTTTCAAAACATTTTGGCATGAAAAGAACAAAGGACTTTGTCCCTATGGTCAGGTACCGCAGAGGAACAAGACTGTCTGTTGCTATGTAACAAGTTGTGGCCCAGGTAAGGGAAGTCACTCTGTCTTGACTTTAGTTAACAGTGTTTTAGCAACTTTAAAACTGTTGTATCCATTGGTATTTTGAGTGTTAAATATAAAAAGAAAATCTGGTAAAAGTGTTATCCCTCGGGAGCATTATTCGCAACAAAATAACATGAAAATTGCAGCATGGTTAAAGTCTGTTCATGAGGGATAATGAAAAAAGTGCATCATTCTTCATGTCCCCTAGCACCGGCTTGAGTGAAAGGCAATTTTCAAAACTTAAACGGCTGGAATCAATGATCTTTAAATATAAAGACACTGAAGTAAAGTACGGGGGCAACATTTTACAGCTGCCACACTGCACTCGACACCAGTCCTGCTGTTGTGAAGTATAAATAAGTAAAAAATGAATAAGCTGTTTAATCATGAGAGTTACTAAATTTGCCATTGTCTGCACAGCTACACAGTACATATGACCTTTCTGCCATTGAAATTAATATATTAAAACTAAATATTATAAATTTTCTGTTTCAGGGTATGAGATAACGGAATGTGAGAAAAATGGGACAGAGGACAAATGTACCGCTTGCGAACCGGGTTTTATACAACTAAATAACATCACCTCATTTTATATGGATGACTCCAAGTGTTTTTTGAAGTTGCCAAACCATAGTGACTGCCCTATACGTGCGTTTTCCAAAATGTTTTTAAATTTTGCTTACTTTTGTAGTATATGCACAAAGGTAAAAGTTGTAATCAACCAATGTCCGTCTCTAATGTATGTTGCAATCATTTTAAGTTTATAAAATAGAATACAGTAAACTCCCCTTATAACGAACCCATTGGGACATTCAAAATCTGTTCCTTATATCTGGAGTTCCTTGTAAGCATATAGCGAATTAGTTCCTTGTATCAGAAGTTTTTATAGATTTACATATAACAAACTGATTGTTTACTATATTGTCCTCCATTTTGAAGAGCATTCGTTTAAGAAAAATAGCTCATTAGAGTTCGTCATTAAGAATAAAAAAGATTTTGATTTTTTCTTCCTTTTATATTAAATATCTTCTATTATATTTTAAGGAAGACCTTAACTTATAAAAGATATAGATTTCTTTTCATTTAAATCAAGCGTGCTTTGTACTTTTCAATGGATTTTATTCAAGAAAAAACATGCATTATGTTGTTGAAAACTGATTGTAAATCAGATCATAATTATTTTCCTGGAGCAAAACTATAAAAGAAAAGAAATAATGGAATAAAATGAATAGTCGTTTTATCTTGATGAAAAAAACTGATGCTAAAAATATCATAAAAAGAAGGCTATACAAATTCATTTTTATAGCTGTATTGAAGGACATACAACAATAAACAGTACATTTGGCCGAGTTTTAATCTGTGCCGATGAAAACGAAAGTAGAATATGTGGGATCTATTTACAGATAGCCATTATTTTGGAGTTTGTTATAAAAGTGTAAATTTCTGTACTTTTGATATAATTGGGACAAGAAAATGAGTTCCTTGTTAGCCAAATTTCCTTATAATTGTGTTCGCTATAACCATATTTTTTATACAAAATAAATTCGGGCCCAAAAAATTGCTCCTTAACCGTGTTCACTATAAGTGAAGTTTTTTATGTATGTCCAAATTGTATAGAGATGGGTCTGGATCCATGCTGATCGCAAACTCACCATTCAGGAATATCCACCATGACTCTGATTGGCTCTCACATTTTTGGGGTTGAAGATAAGTCAAAATTCTGTCATTTACAAGTACCAAAAATAGATTAAATTTTTTTGTGTAATCAATATGCTTATTCCTATTAATCATGCTTTAAAACAGTTATAGTATATAGAACTTGACTGTTATGTTGAAATATCATGGCCTGGAACTGCTTCTCGGAGGTTTTCAGCACAATGATCACGGCTGTCTCACGCCATGATACAGTGTAATTCCACATAACAGTTTGTCGCTATATATAATTTTTTATTTATTTTTGACATGAAACCTGTAAAAAAACAATGGTTTTACAGAAAATTTTTATAAGGAAACCCCCCCCCCCCCCAACTGAATTTATTTAAAAAAATTTTGTTATGTTTTGGGTAATTTATTTTTTAAATTTATGAAAATAAAAAGTTTAAAAGAAACATAAAAACTAATGTTGGGAAACCCATAAGTTAGTAAACAATTTCTGTTGAACCAGTTTTAATTTTTTAAACATTCAAGGTCCCAAATTTTTTTGTTACTTTTTTAAGATTAAAACAAAAAAAGGAAATTTTTTTATCTTTAACAAATTCACATGATATTAAAGCCAAACTAGTTGAACAAAGTTCTGAGATAATTTGGTAGTTTTAGCTGTATAGTAATAGTCGAGATGAAGGCAAACCTTTGTCATTAAGATGAATCCAAGCAAGTCTGTACCTTTATTAAGCTTGATTTGACCGCTCATCTTTATATTTTGATAAAAAAAGTACAAAAAAGAAAGGAATTGAAAATATTTTACAATTGCCTTTTTTATCCCTAAAGGATTTTCAGGAAAAAAAACATGGTCTTTTTCCTTGTGCAGAATGATGTATCTTTGTAGACACAAGCATTTATCTATATATGTTTATGCTCCCCGAAAAATTTCGGGGGAGCATATAGTCGTCAGGTTGTCTGTCCGTCCGTCCCGAATTCGTGTCCGGCCCATAACTATGTTATTTGAAATCAGATTTTAAAACTATTTCACAGAAATGATCACCATATTGAGACGACGTGTCACGCAACATTTGGGTCGCTACCTTGAAGCTCAAGGTCACAGCATGTCCTTGCAGCAAAATCGTGTCCGGCCCATAACTTCATTATTTGAAGTCGGATTTTAAAACTATTTCACAGAAATGATCACCATATTGAGATGACGTGTCGCGCGCAACATTTGGGTTGCTACCTTGAAGGTCAAGGTCACAGCATGACCTTGCAGCAAAATCGTGTCCGGCCCATAACTTCATTATTTGAAGTCGGATTTTAAAACTATTTCACAGAAATGATCACCATATTGAGATGACGTGTCGCATGCAACATTTGGGTTGCTACCTTGAAGGTCAAGGTCACAGCATGACCTTGCAGCAAAATCGTGTCCGGCCCATAACTTTGTTATTTGAAGTCGGATTCTAAAACTATTTCACAGAAATGATCACCATACCATATTAAAACGACGTGTAGCAAGCAACATTTGGGTTGCTACCTTGAAGGTCAAGGTCACAGCATGACCTTGCAGCAAAATCGTGTCTGGTCCATAACTTCATTATTTGAAGTCGGATTTTACAACTATTTCACAGAAATGATCACCATATTGAGACAATGTGTCGTGCACATCATTTGGGTTGTTTTTACACTTTGAACTTTTTCTGTGACATAACTATGACATAACAAAAGGTATACCTTCCTGTGTCCAAAACCTATTTGGGGAGCATCACCCGGTTCAACCGGCTCTTGTTTTTAATCATTTATATGGGAGTGGGTGGGTGGTGCTTTTTTGTGCCCGCACTTTAGGGGGGCATTTTAGTTTTACCCTTGTCCGTCTGCCCATCTGTCTGTTCTCATTTTGTGTCACACTTACCTCAATCAGTATTTGACCTAGAGTCATAAAACTTTACAGAAATGTTGATCAGCATGTTTAGTTGTGCACCTGGGTATTTTTGTGTGGATATATTTAGTATTTTTTTAGAGTTATTGCCCTAGACTTAGTAAAAATTTGCAATTTCCAACTTGTGTTGCATGTAGCTCAAAAATATTTGACCTAGAGTCATGAAACTTTACAGAAATAATGATAAGCATGTGTAGTTGTACACTTGGGTATTCTTGTGTGGATATATTTCATATTTTTAGAGATATTGCCCTTAAGACTTAGTAAAAATTTGCAATTTTCAACTTGTGTCTCATGTAGCTCAAAAAGGATTTGACCTAGAGTCATGAAAAATTACAGAAATGTTGATCAGCATGACTGTGTAGTTGTGCTCCTGGGTATTTTCGTGTGGATATATTAAGTATTTTTAGAGTTATTGCCATTGTCTTAGTAAAAATTTGGGGCGTCCGTGGCCGAGTGGTTAAGGTCGTTGACTTCAAACCACTTGCCCCTCACCGCTGTGGGTTCGAATCCCGACAGGGACTTTGGATTCTTTCATGTGAGGAAGCTATCCAGCTAGCTTACGGAACGTCGGTGGTTCTACTCAGGTGCCCGTTCGTGCCTGAAATAATGCACGGAAGGGCACTTGAGGTCTTCCTCCACCAGTAAAGGTAAAATAATAGACCTAGAGTCATAAGATTGACAAAACAGTTGAGTGTGGGGGCACCCGTGTCCTATGGACACATTTCTAGTTTGACTTTGAGGGTACTTTCTGCGGTTCAAGGATGTAAATTAGGGTAAATTAAATGGTATATAGATACATTGATAGAAGTTATGAATAATATTTTCTTTCAAACTTATATAGAGGATATGAAGCCATCAAAAAACCCTGTATTTATGGAATTCCCAATCCTTTGCTCATGCAAGCACGAGATCTGTTACTTCGAAAAAGAAACCACATGCAGTTTGAAGATGGTATGTGAAGACGGTGAGCAGCTGAGTAAAGAAGGAAGTAAGTTGTTAGAGAGTTTTTGTAGAAATTTGTGTTCATTCTTTGTTTTTCTTTCAGAGTTTATGCGGCCATATTGGAAGGAATTTGATTCATACATTTTTCCGTATCCATGTGAATGCTTGATTGAAAAATGTTATGTAAAGAACAATGTAGGTAATTGTGACCGAACCGAGGAATGTGATTCGAATTTTCAAATGAACAGAATTAGTGGAAGTAAGCACATTGTTGTAGTTGTTGTTGTTTTATTTTCTCAGGGGTTCGAATATGAAGTGGGGTTGTGGGTGGGTGGAGGAAGGGAGGGGTGTTAACATTTAGGAAATTTAAGACTTCAAAATTACAATATTGCATGTTTAGTACCTTTGACATATAAAATATTTGAGTGGAACACATCTGTGTTGTTGACTTTTTTGTGTGTAAAAATATTAAAAAGGTTGTTAAGGGTGAAAATAAAGTGATTTTATAAAGTGCATGTTTCTCTAGAACATTTTATTTCTTGCATGAATATCAAATCATTTTGCTTTTGAATTATATATAGATGAAATTACAGTAAAAATAATATCATAAGATTACTACAGAAACAAGCAGATATGAAACTCTCAAGTGTCTGATGTCCCAATATATTCTACTATTTTGTCAACCAATGGACAATGTGTGGCGGCGTGGCTTGAGTGGTTAACGCGTCGGACTAGTAATCTAAAGATTGCTGACCGTTGTTTCCTTGAGCAAGAAACTTTACATTCATTGCTTAGTACTGGCTGGTTCCAGGAACAAATTCGAGAGTGTTTCATTAAACTTACAGCTTCCAACACAATTGAAATAAAATAAATTTGTATAAACTTACCAATGGACAGGGCGACAGGACAGACCAGGGCAAATCTATAATTCCCCACTCCAAATAGTGGGAGAATAAAATTTAAAATTTTAAATGATTACAAATATTAAAAGAACAAAAACATTTTCACTAAAAGATATGCATATAAATCAGAGTTCATTAAAAAAAAAAATTTAAGAGTTATGCTAGCAAGTTACATATATGAAATGCTAATATTGCATTTTTTGATACATATGAAATGCTAATATTGCATTGTGTGATACATGTGAAATGCTTATATTGCATTTTGTGATACATGTGAAATGCTTATATTGCATTTTGAGATACATATGAAATGCTAATATTGCATTTTGAGATACACGTGAAATGCTTATATTGCATTTTGAGATACACCTAAAATGCTAATATTGCATTTTGTGGTACATGTAAAACATTAGTATTTCATTTTGTGGAACATTGGTATTTCTGTTTGTGAAACACTCGTATTTCATTTTGTGAAACATCAGTATTTCAGTTTGTGAAACATCAGTATTTCAGTTTGTGAAATGTTGCTATTTCATTTTGTTAAATAGAGGATATTTGTTAAGTTCAGTGTAAGATCGGAATATATTTCACCGAGTGAGCACCAAAAGGTATATTTCACGAGTGGCGCAGCCACGAGTGAAATGTGAACTTTTGGTGTTCACGAGGTGAAATATATTTCGATCTTACACTAAACTAAACAAATTTTCTTTTTATTACATGCAATCAAACGTTAAAAAGGACATTTTTACCTAATAATAAATGAATAGCGCGCCAAATAATTATACAACGTGACGTCATTTACGACGTCACGTTATTAAGTTGGTTTCCAGTTCTGTGTACGCTGGTATTTCACTGAAACAAAGGGGCTTAAATTCAAAACAGTGAGATTATCAAATTGATAATTTCACTGTTTCAAACAGTGAAATTATCAGTTTTAATTCACTGATATATTTCTATAAACCATCGAAAAGCATGTAATAAATATTCATATTTCATTTTGTGAAACATTGGTATTTTATTTTGTGAAACATTAGTATTTCATTTTGTGAAACATTCATATTTCAGGTTGTGAAACATTGCTATTTCAGTTTGTGAAACATTCATATTTCAGTTTGTGAAGCATGTCCATGGTATGCATATAAGTTTGAAAGAGGATGTCAACCTTGTACAGTTAATATCACACTGTTGAGGTAAACATACTTTCTTCAATTTGACACTCTCAGATCCTTATTTGTTGAAATTTTATGTGAACAATAAAGACAGGCATTTTGAAACATGATGTTTTGTAAGAAGATTAATAATTAAAATAACTGGTCTAAATTATTTGTGCATCTTAAAAAAAGATGATTCTTATAAACATGTACGAGGGATATTTGTAAATACGAAAACAAGAAATACATTTAAATCAAGAAGTAAAATGTACACCTGTCAGACGGGGGGCAAGTTGAACATCAATTTAATGCGATGGCACAATACAGTCCATGCTTTGCAAAATACTCGCCATTGCACAAGATGCAACATTGGTGTCAGTGGATCCACTGGCTGTATAAAGACCTACACCAGTCCTCATTGTACTGAGCGACAATGTTGTCGATGGCAATTCGATGTTCTGCAGGCATCTTGAACCACTGATTTCCTTTCAGTTGAGTCTTTATGGTGTATAAACATGTATAATCATAAAATAATTTTCATTAACTTGTTACAGAATATTCTCATTATGATTATGTAAAGAATGTAATATATTATGATATTTATTGTTTCAGGCAAGGAAGGCCAGAAGGACAATATATACCTCCTGAATTAAGAACCACAACAATAGCAGGTAGGACCTATTTATACATTAAAAGGCTGTATCTTACACATTGGACAATATTAACTGTCCCTAATGTAAGCTTGTCACTTCGAAGAAAAAAGTCTGGTCTACCATGGAAAACATTTTTTTGCCTCCATTCAAATAAGTAGGGGTATATTGCTTTGCATGTGTGGTCGGTCGGTCCATAGACCAAATAGTTTCCGATCAATAACTAAGGAAAGCTTATACCTAGGAACTTCAATGTGGTGTAGGGATTGTTCATGACCAAAAGATGACCCCTATTGTTTTAAGAGTCTTAAGGCCAAAGGTCAAGGTCAAATTGACCTCGAATGTCAAAATGGTTTCCAATTAACAGCTCAACAACTCATGGGACTTTGACCTTCAAACTTCACAGTTGCATTTGTCTTGGCCTGTAGATGATTGACCTTGTAGGTAAAAACGGTTTCCAATCAATAACTTGGCCTTCAAACTGCATAGGTGCATTGGTCTTGGCCAGTAGACTACTTTGACCTTTAAACTTCACAAATGCATTGCATTTGGTCAGAAGATGACCTCAATGGATTTTTGGGGTCAAGTAGTCAGAGGCCAAGATCACATTGACCTTATAGGTAAACTCACGAGCCCTTTACTTTGGCCAGTAGATTACCACTATTGATTTAAGAGTCAAAGATCAAAGTCACATTGACCTTGTGAGTAAAAACAGTTTCTGACCCACAAGTTGCCTTTGATATTTTTTATTAAACTAATAATGCTTGTGGTATACACATTACAAGGTCTATGTAATATTACAAATTTGCTGTCATTTGGGAGGCCTATTTGATTCATAAAATTTTATATGTATATATTTTTTGGTAAGATTTGTGATAACTTTGTCATAAAATTGCTGCAGCCAACCATTACAGTCACAATGACCTAGTGACTAGTCATGACCAGTAGATAACTCCTATTAATTTAGGTCTACTTCTCTATAATTATCAAAGCTACCTCTATATTCACCTCAAATTTGTTACTGAATCGTTACAGTCATTAATTTTGTTAATTTTTAGAGGATCATGAGATGTTTCCTAGAGTTTCTAAGCCTGTCACACACCCTTCACCCCCTCCCCCTGTCCTCTCTCTCCCTCCCTCCCCGATATGTTGGTGTACGGGCAAGACGTGGTTATGGTTTTAAGTGCAACTTATTTCTCATCAATTATTAAAAGTGTTGTCTTCAGTATTAACACACCTGTCTTCAGGTTGACTAACAATGACACAGATGTATTACTCTAGCATGAATACATACTGAAGTTATTCCCCTTTGCGAATTCCTGCTTCACTCTTTACTTATTATCAAGCTCTGAGATGAGTCTGGTACAATTGAGCCACATCATGACAAAACCAACATAGTGCGTTTGAGACCAGCATGGATCCAGACCAACCTGCGCATCCACACAGTCTGATCAGGATCCATGTTGTTCGCTTACAAACCCTATTACAAGAAGATGAACTGATAGACAACAGCATGGATCCTGACTTGACTGCGTGGTTTTGTCATGGCATGGCTCAATTAATTATGACATGACAGCCATCGTTTAGTAACGGGCAAATGCTTTTCTACAAATCAAATTGTACTTACGCATAAATACAGATTCCTCAAACTGTAAGTTTTAAACTTAAAAGGATAATTCAGAAATACAAATGTTTTATATTTTCAGTGACCAGGAAAGCAAATGGTCCTAATATTAAATCAAATGATAATCAGTCTTTTGAGGTACATGAGGAGCCTGACTTGGAGGGAGGAATTGGTAAAGACACTGACTTCAACCAAGTTCATCTAAATGCTGTTTCCATTGCTGTCTCTGTTGTCGCTGTGTAAGACAACTTTGTATATTCTTTTTCCTTTAGACTATTAAAATTGGCAGTGAAAAACATTTGAGCCGCGCCTTAACAAAACCAACATAATGCGTTTACGACCAGCATGGATCCAGACCAGCCTGCGCAAAAAAAAAACAACTGTCTATTTGATTTTGATAATATAATTTTTCAAATAATTACAATTGTAAAAAAAAAATGACACAAAAAATCCCACAAAACTGTGACAGTTATGGGGTGGGGGGGGGTCACTTTCCTGTATGTACATAATGAGGAAATTTTCAAAAAATCATCTTTATTATTATATTTGTTTATTTATAGGTTGGTTGTAGTGTTAGGTCTTGGCGTGTACTGCTTTAGAAAGAGAAGAAAGTCACAAGGTGTGTATGCTTCTTTAAAAACAGCATAATTGTAAAACAGAAAATTTAAACATTAACTTATTACCAAAGAAGTAAGAAATGACCGCTGCATGAATACTTTATTGAAATCATTAACCTGCTGATAATAATGGTAAAAGCAAGAGCTTCTGGGAGCAATTTTAGAGTTATTAATTATTCAGTTTTGATATCAAATATCTGTAAATAAATTAACACTAGTATGCTTGTCGGTTGGGCTTAACTTAATGGTAGCCCAGGGTTCTATGATATCATGGTACTTAACGTTTATCGGAAGTTATTTAAATGCAAATTTCATACAATAATGAAAATTTTTTCTATTTAATTAGTGAACTTTTTCCAAAACTGTTTGTCCAAAGTTTTTTTAATACTATTTCATTGTCTGCTATTTGGCATGATTTCAGTGGAGGTTACTATGGTATCACTGTAATCCCCAAAAATGCAAGTATGGAAGGTAGATGGATCAAAATCTTCAAATTAAGTTCTGAAAAACTTCCAACAGTTAACTTGCTTTAAATGTCAAAATTGATAAACAGATTATATTTCAGTTAATGGAATTATAACATATTTCAATTGTCTGCATAAAAACAATGAAGGGAAATTTAGTAGTCAAATATCATGAAGTATAAAGATTTTATAAAATAGTTTTCCTACCACAAGTATATTCATTATTCACAAAATTAAATTTATTGGCAGATGCTATATGAGTTAACGTGACAGTTTTGAAAATGGTAGCATCGACATGTGTTGCTTTTACTTGTGGTTGCAGAAAATGTAAATACCGTGATAGCATAGAACCAGTGATATCATAGGAACTGATTAGTGTATATCATTTAGATATGATTTATGAGTGAAATTAAATATAAAACGTGTGTGAAGAAGGTCATTCTGATGAGAAAAAGGTTTATTGTATTTAAAAAATTTACAAAAAATTCAAAAATGTTAAAAAACTATTCTGTATACATGTAGTTATTAATTAATCCACCGGCTGAGAAGTAAAGATTTGTTTGCAGAGGTTTTAAAAACGTGATCAACTGTACTGTTGAGAATTTGAAAGTAAGGCTACGATGACATTTCACCATTTTTTGTCATCAGCGTACTTTGCAACAGGATGTGAACAAAGTGTCAATTGAATATAAATATATGCAAATAAAAATCATGAATTGGTTTCTTTAGACAATGGACATAGAACTGCAGAAATAAAACACTTCAGTGTAAGGTTGACAATGCCACAGAAATAAGGTATCAAAATTGTAAGATTTACAAGGGGGTGAAGGGAGGGGGTCTGATTACAAATCTGATCTGTAGCCAATCAATTTTGAAAAAAAAAGCTTTTAGTGAACTCAGAAGTACTTTAAAACCAGCTATGTTTCATCATAGGGTACATGTAACTAATGAATATATTGGTTAACGGTTCATTTATATGAGAAGCATTTCACATAATATTGCATTTATATGTATATGTGTTACTTTCTATATAATTGAGCCGTGTCATGACAAAACCAACATATTGGTTTGCGACCAGCATGGATCCAGACCAGCCTGCGCATCTGCGCAGTCTGATCAGGATCCATGCTGTTCGCTATCAGTTTTTAGCTCACCTGTCACAAAGTGACAGGGTGAGCTTTTGTGATCGCTTTTCGTCCGTTGTCCGTCCGTAAACTTTTGCTTTAAATGACATCTCCTCATAAACCACTGAGCCAATTTCATCCAAACTTCACAGGAATGTTCCTTTGGTGGTCACCTTTAAAAATTGTTCAAAGAATTTAATTCCATGCAGAACTCTGGTTGCCATGGCAACCGAAAGAAAAAACTTTAAATATCTTCTTTTAAAAAACCATAAGAGCTAGAGCTTAGATATTTGGCATGAAACATCTTCTAGTGAGTGTCTACCAAGTTTGTTCAAATAAAAGCCCTGGGGTCAAAATTGGCCCCGCCCCTGGGGGTCATTGATTTTCCCTATATGTATAGTAAAAACTTAAAAAATCTTCTTTTAAAAAACCGTAAGAGCTAGAGCTTAGATATTTGGCATGAAACATCTTCTAGTTCAAATAAAAGCCCTGGGGTCAAAATTGGACCCGACCCAGGGGGTCATTGATTTTCCCAATATGCATATAGTAAAAACTTAAAAAATCTTCTTTTAAAGAACCCAAAGAGCTAGAGCTAAGATATTAAGCATGAAACATCTTCTAGTGAGTGTCTACCAAGTTTGTTCAAATTAAAGCCCTGGGGTCAAAATTGGCCCCGCCCCGGGGGTCATTGATTTTCCCTATATGCATATGGTAAAAACTTTAAAAAATCTTCTTTTAAAGAACCATAAGAGCTAGGGCTTAGATATTTGGCATGAAACATCTTCTAGTGAATGTCTACCAAGTTTGTTCAAATAAAAGCATGGGGTCAAAATTGACCCTGCCCCAGGGGGTCATAGATTTTCCCTATATGCATATAGTAAAAACTTAAAAAATCTTCTTTTAAAGAACCCAAAGAGCTAGAGCTAAGATATTTAGCATGAAACATCTTCTAATGAGTGTCTACCAAGTTTGTTCAAATAAAAGCCCTGGGGTCAAAATTGGCCCACCCCAGGGGGTCATTGATTTTCCCTATATGCATATAGTAAAAACCTAAAAAATCTTCTTTTAAAGAACTCAAAGAGCTAGAGCTTAGATATTTAGCATGAAACATGTTCTAATGGGTGTCTACCAAGTATGTTCAAATAAAAGCCCTGGGGTCAAAACTGGCCCCGCCTGGGGGGGGGGGTCATTGATTTTCCTTATATGTGTATAGCAAAAACTTAAAAATCTTCTTTGGAAAAACCCAAATAGCTAGAGTTTAGATATAAAGCATGAAACATCTTTTAGTAAATATCTACAAAGTTTGTTCAAATAAACACCCGGGGGTCAAAACTGGCCCTGCCCCAGGGGTGACATTGTTTTTAACTATATGTGTATAGTAAAAACTTTAAAAATCTTCTTTTAAAAAAGCCAATGAGCTAGAACTTAGATGTTTAGCATGAAACATCTTCTTATGGGTGTCTACCAAGTCTGTTCAAATAAACAAATAAAAGCCCTTGGGTAAAAATTGGCTCGGGGGTGGGGGGCCTATATACAGGTGAGCGACCTCAGGGCCATCATGGCCCTCTTGTTCTACTTGTTATAGGGTTTGTAAGCGAACAGCATGGATCCTGATCAGACTGGGCGGATGCGCAGGCTGGTCTGGATTCATGTTGGTCGGTAACCCATTATGTTGGTTTTGTTGTGACACAGCTCATATTATTTTTTTGTAGGTGGACATATTCCTCCAGCTTCACCAACTAACGATAGTGCACCACTGCTTCCTGGACACAGATATCCCATCCTAACACATAATGGACAGCTAATGAATGGAGTAGGTAATTACGAGCAGAATATACCGATTACTCCCGTAGATGAACACGGAAATTTTCATCCAGCATATATTGTTAATGGTTATAGAGTAAATATTCCAGCAGAAGCTGTAGTTAATACAGCTGGGAATGGAATTAGGAATGGAGCAGTGAGACCTGTGGGCAATGTATTAATCGGGGCTGATGGTACATTCGGAAATAACGAGAATGAAATGCTTATAAATAATAGGTGTAGTGAGACAGCTATTAATATTGCAGATGTAAGAACAGAAAAGAATGACCTGCAGCAAGTAGATGTAGGAAGTAAGAAGGGAGAAAAGAATGGTGACAGGCATGGTAATGTTGAAGAAGGTGCTACTGGAGGTTCTTCTGTCCCTGATAAAACAGCTGATAAAATGTTAGAGAACGAAATAAACCCATCTAAAGACAAAATAAAGAAAAAGAAATCTAATACACAAATTAATATTCATAATAATGTATTTGAAAACTGTCATATACAGTTTGGTACAAGAAGATTGAAACCAAATCCTGATAGTAGAGCTAACAAAGAGATATGTATTTATCCTGAAAACCTCAGCAGTGTCTCAGGTACATTTGAAGCTGACAGTTCCATAAACTCTTCTATTGTAAGTTCATCACCAACATTGTTGCTGAGGAAAATAGAACCAAAGAAAGACGATACAAGAACGGAGTTAAATGAGTTGGCACCAACAATCGATACGGCACCAACAGACGATACAGCACCAACAGATGATACGGCACCAACAGACGATACAGTACCAACAGACGATACTGTACCAACAGACGATACTGTACCAACAGACGATACAGCACCAACAGACGATACGGCACCAACAGACGATACTGTACCAACAGACGATACAGCACCAACAGACGATACAGCACCAACAGATGATACGGTACCAACAGACGATACGGTACCAACAGACGATACAGCACCAACAGACGATACGGCACCAACAGACGATACTGTACCAACAGACAATACTGTAGATGTTGTGGATACTGCTAAAAATAGAGGTCAAAGTGGGCCACCTTGTAGACCCGAGCTTAGTAATGCTGTAATTTCTGAATGCGGAGGTTGTGATGTCAAGTTGGATACAAATGATAATGATGGAAAGATGAGAAAAGATATTAATGATAGAGCACGAAATATTGTGCCACCACTTACATGCAATAAAGGTAGGAAAAATATTTACTGTGGTAATAGTTACCATATTTTATATAAAGGGGAAACATAGTCTTAAAAGCATGGTCTGTCTCAGAGTGGATCAGGGTATATTACATATATAAATTTGCAAAATATTTTTAAATAACTTGATTACTTAGATGGGTTGGTTGTTTTTTTAAACTCCCATTATGCCCCATAAATTCTTTTAATCATAGTTTTCAAAAGCTTTTTAGTCCCCTACCGGTTTAACCGGAGGGGACTTTAGGTTTACCCTCCGTCCGTCTGTCCGTCTGTCTGTCCGTCCGTCTGTCCGTCTGTCTGTCTGTCAGTCTGTCAGTCCGTCAGTCCGTCCGTCCACAAAACTGGATCCCGCGATAACGCAAAAAGTACTGAAAATATTTTTATGAAACTTGATACATGGATAGATGGCAGTATGGAGATTATGCACGTCTTTTTTTTTTCTTCCTATGTTGAAAATTCTGGTTGCTATGGCAACAAATAGTCTGAAAATATGGCAAATTTAACACATAAACTGGATCCAGTGATAACTCAAAAAGTACTGAAAATATTTTTATGAAACTTGAAATATGGGTAGATGGCAGTCTGGAGATTATGCACATCTTTTTCTTTTCTTCCTATGTTGAAAATTCTGGTTGCTATGGCAACAAATAGCCTGAATTTCAAGATTTCTGATTTAAATTTTTCAGCTTTTTCACTATATGTTCTTTATTTCTTAAGGTGTTTACTTCAAACTTTAAATATAAGTTTCTGGTCATCAACCACATCATATGTGACAAGGTTTATAACTCTAGCACAAAAAATATCAGTATTACCTCCCTTGAACTTAGATTTTTTAGGGGAAAAAATGTTGTCTTTTTTAAATAACTTCTTTATTTCCTAATGTATCTACTTCAAACTTCATATATATGTTTCTTATTATCACTCAACATTTTTGAGAAGGTTAAATACTCTAGCAAGACTATTTCCAGAATTATGTCCCCCTTGAACTTAGATTTTTTTCGAGAAACTGGTATTTTCACTCCAACTTCTTCATTCCTTATAGGATTTACTTTAAAATCCCACATCGTAATAATATGACAAGGTTGTATAAACATAATTTCCTTACTAAGCATGGAAACTTAACACATTACTGTGATATAGACAAACTTATTTTATTATGTTTTGTGGTTGATATTTTCAAATACAGACTTCATCCTCAAATTCATTATAAATGGCAATACACAGGAGTGCATGACAATTAAAGAACTTTTTGAGGGACCGGTAGGGGACTACTGTATTGCCCGCAATACTATCAAATGCTTGTTATTTTTGGTGTCCTGTTGTAATTTCCGAAAAGTTAGCCATTGGTCAATAACCCAAACTATCGTTTGCTGCTGCTTTTTGGCAATTAATATATGTTACAATGATGAAGTATTTTTTATGGAAGACAAAAAACTACTTTGTTCACATTTTGCTATTTTTATGACAAAGAAATTTTACATTCAGAAAAATTTTCTTTCAAAAATATGCATCTAAAATCATTAAATGCTCTAAAACCATATTGTTTTTAATACTATTCAACTCATTTTTGCCCTTTCTAAAGAAGGAAAGGATTATTTTTTTCTGATGCATAATGTACCTATAACTATATGCAATTGATGTTTGTTATCCACAGTCAGATGGTGCCCATAATGTTATTTTATAAAATCTAAACCACAGGATAAATTTTGGCAAAATTTACTAGGACTGATCCAAAGTAGGTTCCCCACAAATGTTACAAAGTTACTTAGCAAGAAGCCATTGCCTAGTGGTTCTATAAATTGTGCTCCAAGGAATATAAATAACCTTGCTTTTGAGGTCACTTTTATATTTTAAAGATAGATTACAAAATTAATTGTAAACATATCTCTGTGAAACTACAAGTTCTTGTATGTTGTAGATGAGACATTGGCCTTTTGCTCATTGGCCTTTTATTATTTATTGTAAACTGTCTAATTTATAAATTACTTTTATTTTACAGAGCGCAAGGTTGCTAGAGTTGGTGAGTTTGTATTTAGTATATTTATTTAAAATCAACGTTTGTATGTGTACAATTTGATTTAAAAAATAACTTGTTAAAACAGAGTACGATTTGATAATAAATATGCAATTACAGAAATAATGTCTCCTCTGTCATATACATAGGAGGGCTTTAGTCCACCTTGTTATTTTTGCAGGAGGGCTTTTGTCCACCCTATCATTTTCACGGGAGGGCTTTTGTCCATTTACCGTAGCAAACGCACAGACCTTAATATGCTTTTTAATAAAGTATGATATGAAGTCTTCATGACGAACAGTGACATACCTGTACATGTATATTAAACAATAAACTAGACAGGCTTGTTAGTCCCCTACCGGTTTACCGGAGGGGACTTTAGAATTACCCTCCGTCCGTCTGTCTGTCCACACTACCGAAAAGGGATAGAGGGCCATCTAACTGTAAACAGAACAAAAGAGAACAATAGAGTTCATTCCATAACAATAGAGTAAGGGGCCATTGGCCCTCTATTAAACAATAGAAAAAAACAAAAGAAATGGCCCCTTATTCCATTTCGGCCGGACGTTCGTCCGTCTGTCAGTCTGTCCGTCCACAAAACTGGATCTCGCGATAACTTGAAAAGTACTGAAAATATTTTAATGAAACTTGAAATATGGGTAGATGGCAGTCTGGAGATTATGCACGTCTTTTTCTTTTCTTCCTATGTTGAAAATTCTGGTTGCTATGGCAACAAATATACTGAAAATATTGCAAATTTTACACATAAACTGGATCCAGTGTTAACGCAAAAAGTAATAGAAATATTTTTATGAAACTTGAAATATGGGTAGATGGCAGTCTGGAGATTATGCGTGTCTTTTTCTTTTCTTCTTATGTTGAAAATTCTGGTTGCTATGGCAACACATAGACTGAAAATATGGCAAATTTTACACATAAACTGAATCCAGTGATAACTCAAAAAGTACTGGAAATATTTTTATGAAACTTTATATATGGGTAGATGGCAGTCTGGAGATTATACATGTCTTATCTTTTCTTCCTATTTTGAAAAAATATTGGTTGCCTTGGCAACAAATAGGCTTACAACATGGCAAATATAACAATATTTGTGATTAAGTCAAAAAGAGCTGAACATTTTTATGAAATTGCATCTTTAATTCAAGAGTTATCTCCTCTATAAGAATTTTGCTTTTAAAAATGTTATATTTTGGTAACAGGGATGTTTCAAATATTAACTTTAGAGTGTCCTTCAGTCCGTCTTTCTGTCTGTTCATAAAAACTGTTTCCTGTGATCACTTTTAAAGAACTTTTCCAACAAATTTACTTAAAATAGAGAATGATTAAAACATTAGTGAATGGCCAATGGCCCTTCAGAATGTTGATGGGGTTCTAACCGGTAGGGGACTTATGGATTGCTTGCAATACTATGATAATTGCTTGTTAATTTTAATTCACACATTTACATTTTGAAATGATTTCAATTGATAATAGTTAAACACTCTGCAAAATGTTGTTAGAAATTGACATCATGTGCCAGATTGGATTATCATTGACATGATTATTGGAAACAACTAAATTATACTAAATATATAACAATGTCATATTCTTCTGTGATGAAGAAACGTATATCTGTCAAATGTCATGGCGAATAAGAATTGAATTAGAAAAAAACGACATAATTTTATAAAGAAATTTTTTTTAAAAATTCATAAAACTTTTTTTATATTTTATAGAACCCATGCGCCAAAATAGTGAAGTAATGCACATGTCTGGATATCCTTCTGTTCAGATAAATGATGAGGGGAACTCTGCCCCGGATTCTATGTCGTATGCTGTAATGCATGCTGACCTAGATACAGGATTTATGGGGCAAAACTACGATATTGCAAATGATAACCTCACCGAGTATGATAGCAATGAAAGTTTCAATTATCACAGCAATGATGTTAGCACGTCCAGATTTGTGAGGCAGGATCAAAATTCTATTGGTAGAACATTAGTTCCTCGAACAAATGTCAATCACGTGGGTGTGGCTAATGCAGTGGCACCAATGAATGTAAGGGAAGTGAATGGACCATGTCCGGTTCAGCCATTCGGTGTAAGAGAAGCTCCAGAGGGAAGGTCTATTACTTATATGCCAGACAATGATGACTTTGTTACTCATGGTGTTATGCAAGAGACAAATAGGAAACTTGCAGTTGATGAAATAGATTCAGACGAAACAGATTTAAAGGGAGAAATGTGCCCTGATACAGAGACTAAATTCATAGACACAGAGGATGATATTACTGAATTCAAGAGAAAGATTAAAGAAAGTCAAATAGATGAGGAAAATACTGACTTAGAAAAGACAGGGAAAGAAGAATCAAGAAAATCTGCCTCGTGTAAAGACAGTATAAACAGTGAAAAGGAAATGGAAAGTACACATGAATACAATGTTGAAGACATTTTGTATGATGAAAGTGCAGAAGGAGATGTTGAAAAAAGTTTTGAATTAGACAGTTCTGATATGAAGAATATTCAAACTGATAAAGAAGACTGTAATGAGGTAACTAATTTGGAAAATAATGGTGATGATGATAATGAGTCTAAAAGTTTTGAAATAAAAAGTGAAGACCTTACACAATTAGACAATTTGAAAGTGATAAATGAGAAGAGCTCTGATAAAGATGATGTTGATGATGATGATCATAATGAGGCTGATGGTTGTGGTTCTAATGATGATGATAAAATTAAAAAATGTGGTAGCTTTGAACAAACAGAGGAAAGTTTTGAACTTGGCAGTTGTGATATTGAGCAAATAGTAAAGGAAGAAATATCAAGGCCAGTGAAAGATGAACATAGTGGGGCTGGTGTGAGTGATAGAACTTGTAGTGGAGAAAGTAGTAGGACTAGTAGTAGAGAAAGTAGTTTCGAGTTAAATTCTGCTGAAATTGATGGTGTTTATGCCACAGATAATGCTGAAGACAATATGGAAACCTGTGATAGTAATGTTGAAGGGAGTGAAGATGTAGAAAAGAAGGCGGGTGATGTCTAACAGTGCTAGGATGTGACTTTTTGTGATAAAATCATAGAAAGTTATTGTGATTGGTAAATTGTCAGCACTGAATTATGGTGGACTTGTGTCAAGGCTGAAAGTCTCAGGCACTTGTTGCCTGACTTCTTATACAATTATGGCTTGAGGTTTAATTATCTTCAGCCAAAGATTTTAGAATTATGCATATGTTGTTTTAAAAATTAGTGTCAGTATTTTAGCTTGCCAGTTGTTTTTTTTTGCAATTTTTAAATTTGTAAGTTTTAAACATACAATTATTTCTTATCATGATATTCTAACATTAGTCAACAATACTGGAAGTATCAATGATTTTTTCATTGAATATTGTCAACAGTGAACAGCATGCACTCAGAAAATATGTTTAAGGGTAGAGAGATCTCCTAATGCCAACTATTTTTATGCTCACTGAATTTTTTTTTTACTTTGTAAATAATTGCCAGTACCTCCATCAGTCCAGTTTTTCAAAGGCATTTTCACCCCAATCCAAAATAACTTTTTTTTTTCAATTTAAGATGCATCAATTTGATTATTATGCCCCAACTTCAAAGAAGAGGGGGTATATTGCTTTGCATTTGTCGGTCCGTCGGTCCGTAGACCAAATGGTTTCCGAGTGATAACTAAAGAACCCTTAGGCCTAGGAACTTCAAACTTGGTATGGTGATTGGTCATGACCAGCAGATGACCCCTATTGATTTTGGGGTCAAGGGGTCAAAGGTCAAGGTCACATTTACCTTGTAGGTAAAAACGGTTTCCGATCAATAACTAAAGAACGCTTAGGCCTAGGAACTTCAAACTTGGTATGATGATTGTTCATGACCAGCAGATGACCCCTATTGATTTTGGGGTCAAGGAGTCAAAGGTCAAGGTCACATTGACTTTGTAGGTAAAAACGGTTTCCGATCAATAACTAAAGAGCGCTTATGCCTAGGAACTTCAAACTTGGTATGGTGATTGGTCATGACCAGCAGATGACCCCTATTGATTTTGGGGTCAAGGGGTCAAAGGTCAAGGTCACATTTACCTTGTAGGTAAAAACGGTTTCCGATCAATAACTAAAGAACGCTTAGGCCTAGGAACTTCAAACTTGGTATGATGATTGGTCATGACCAGCAGATGACCCCTATTGATTTTGGGGTCAAAGGTCAAGGTCACATTGACCTTGTAGGTGAAAACGGTTTCCAATCAATAACTTAAGAATGCTTAGGCCTAGAAACTTCAAACTTGTAATAATGATTGGTCATGACCAGCAGATGACCCCTATTGATTTTGGGGTCAAGGGGTCAAAGGTCAAGGTCACATTGACCTTGTAGGTAAAAACGGTTTCTGATCAATAACTGAAGAATGCTTAGGCCTAGGAACTTCAAACTTGGTATGATGATTGGTCATGACCAGTAGATGACCCCTATTGATTTTAGGTTCAAGGGGTCAATGTCATATTGACCTTGTACTTAATTACGGTTTCTGACCAATAACAACTCAAGTTGCCTTGGTTGATATCTTTATATTAAACTAAAAATGCTTTTGGTATACACATTTGAAGGTCTTATGTAATATAACAACTTGGCTGTCATTAATGAGGCCTACATGATTCATAAAATTTATGCAAATATTATTTTGTAAGATTTGTAATAACTTAAATTGCTGCAAATCACAATAATTATTACCTTGTGACTAGTCATGACCAGTAGATACTAGATAACCCTTATTAACTTCTAGGTCAGAAGTCATGCATAATAACCTGATCACATGACTAATTGGCTGCCAATATGGGGCATACATGTTTTACAAACATATCTTGTTTTTCTAGGTAATGATATATATTATATATTATTTTGGTTTTGGAGTGATATATGTGGATATATTACCTGTCAAGATTTTATATCACCCGAGCCGTTAGGCAAATAGAATGATAGACATTTGTCTTAACAGTGTTGTAAACGCATGTGACTAGATTTTATGTTAACTTTGTTATAAACAAATAAATGTATTAAGTTTCGTGTTAAATGTTATGTACAAATTCGTATTTTCTTACAACATTATACAATTTTCTGTCAAACAGAGTTAGTTATATGTAGTTATGTTACTAGCTGTTAAAGTTAAAAGTGTTTTGAATTAAATATATACGGATAACTGTACCTATTGTACATTAACATTTAAAATGTATAAAGCTATATATCTGCTTTCTGTAGTTAACAAAATTTTGTTGTATTTTATAAACAGAACAATACCAAAATACCTGTATGAAAGATTTATGTTTAAATTTTTCAATAAAGTGTGACTGGTGCATGTATAAAACTATTGCTAAACAGTAAGAGCCATACATAAAAATGAGCACATTACTTCATTTCAGAACATTTGAGCCACGTCATGACAAAACCAACATCATGGGTTTGCGACCAGCATGGATCCAGACCAGCCTGTGCATCCGCGCAGCCTGATCAGGATCCATGCTGTTCGCTTACAAACCCTATAACAAGTGGAAAAACTGATAGAGAACAGCAGGGATCCTGATCAGAATGCGCGGATACGCAGGCTGGTCTGGATCCATGCTGATCGCAAACCCATTATGTTGGTTTTGTCATGACACGGCTCATTTTATTCTATTTATGTACATTAATCATGTGTGTTAAATACCAGAAACCTTTTTTTCTATATCTACAACTTTTAAGAATTCATTTCACAATAAGATTATGGTAACATCATAATTTTACCATTTATTTATATGTTATAAACAATTTTTGTATAGATCTATAATTAGTTCAGTTAAAACAAACGCTTTAGCTTTCGACTTCAGTTTTGTCTTCATTAGAAAAAAATGACGTTTATAAAATAACAAATGAAGCAATGGAAATAAAAACGTCTTTTTTTTATTTTTCATAAGATATTGCTTTACACCCTTTCAAATATTAAAAACCAAAACTTCAAAACCTTTGTAATTCAGTAAAACCAGTATACCGGTCAGTCTGATCAGCTTATGGCTGTATAGCTTGAAATTTTCATCATGATATCCCTTTAGATGCATAATGAACTCTTCTAATGGAAGGTTGGGGAGTGTATTTTGGAAAATTCCTGCTGGAATGGAAACATCACCAATATAGAGCTAGGGGCAAAGGTTATAAAGAAATTCTCCATGCTCAAAACTCATTTCTCAGTTATTTGATTGGTCAGAAACCGGTACAGAATCCTGAATGTACTCTGATCAATGAAAATAGAGTGAGACAAAAAAAGGATTGGAGCACTACACTAAATACCGTATTCCGGTATATACCTGGCAAGGCGCTTGAATCATAAAATACTAAAATCTTGCGTTTTCACCTAACAGAATGAACTTTAATAGGTCTGATTCATCTTTTCACACTGATTTATGTATGATAATGAATGAAAAATGTAAAAATCAGCGAAAAAAACGATATTTGAATGAACTTTAATAGGTCTGATTCATCTTTTCACACTGATTTATGTATGATAATGAATGAAAAATGTAAAAATCAGCGAAAAAAACGATATTTGTCTATTTTGTGATCATGATTTCTGCAAGCGTCTAAAGGTACTGCTCCAATCCTGTATTAAGTTAAATCAATGAAAATCCGGAGATTTGAGACATGACTCGGCAAAAGTTTTATAGCCTCGAGGTCAGGCTAGCCTGAACTTCCTTGCTGTCTGACTAGGCTCTATTCTATTGACTTTATATCTTTAAATAGAAAATTTAAAATGGACAGCTCCAAAAATAATTACTGATTAAAGGAACTCCACTGAGGTCAAAAAGCTTAAAAACATAAAAATTTCATTTATTACAAAGATCAGCTAAAAAGATATGCAAAAGATAATGAAGAAATATATTTGGTAATAACTTTAAATTTGTATTTTGTGCTATTCTTAGCCGAATTGAGCGAAAAGCATTGCAATGTTTTTCAATATCAAGTCATTTTTCATAATAAGAATAATTATTCTTTATAAACTGAGTGAGCAAATGATCTAAAATTTTGCACACAAATAATTGGTCTTAACTTACATCAAATGGAACATTAGTCTGGAAAAATTATTTGCAGTCCAGTCATGTTCAAAAAAACCTCAGTGGAGTCCCTTTAAAGGTAAAGTTTTAGTATATTTCATTACTGATATATTAGAATTGCACAGACAGATGGTAGCATACAGTATAGGTCTGATATTACTGCCTCCATGTTACTGCCGCTGACACCCATTTCTGTTGAAATAAAAATTTAAAAAAATTTAAAAAAACAATCTGAAAATTTGCCAAATTTAAAAAAACAATCTGAAAATTTGCCAAATGAATCAAGTCTAATGAATTTGATGTTGTTTTGTACCTTAAATTCTATTGATTGTTCCTGTCAAATGATATTTTTGCTATGCAATATATAATATTCTTGTCATTTTGCTTTGTAAAATACGCAGATTGTACATAAAATTTTGTGACATATGTATCTAATATATCTGTAGATAATTTGATAAATAGAGGATATTGAATGAGCATAGGTTCAATAATGAATTTATTGAATCAGAGGAATAAAATTATATTATTCGAGAAAAATATTATTTTATTAACAAGTTAAATAAATTCAGTAATGAACTTACACAAATATTAATATTCTATTTATCACATTACCCATATAAAGACTGTTTAAAGAGCAAAGGAATAATTTTTTATTGAGGCGCCTATAGTTTAACGCTAACATTTAGGGTGTCTTTACACTATGTTTGTGTAAGGCAAATGATGTCATTTCAAAATATATGCATGGCCATGCAATTCCATTTTTACGGAGTCACAAAATTGGCATGGGTATGTGATAAAATTAATTAACAATGAAACATAGTTATAGCAGATATGAGCCGCGTCACAACAAAACCAACATAGTGTGTTTGTGACCAGCATGGATCCAGACCAGCCTGCGCATCCGCGCAGTCTGATCAGGATCCATGCTGTTCGCTATCAGTTTCTCCACTTTTAATAAAGTTGGATCCTGATCAGACTGCACGGTACGTTGGTTTTGTCATGACGTGGCTCATATTGATATTTTGAAGTGTTTGTCTTAAACATTGAGTATTATATGGCGAAAGACAAAACTGTACATGTTTAGTCATTTGCATTTATTTTTTTTTTACTATAAATGTTATAGGAGAATGGCTGCAGTGTTATGTAGACTTTTGTATGAAAATTGATAAACTTGTAAATTTGTTAATGGTAGACATGTGTTCACATAAATGGAATTTACTGTAGCCAAAAGACTCTTGCTATCCGTATTTTTTCATCATTTTCAGAAATAATTTTCTCTTCATTAATAGTAGTTTTATTTGTGTGTATTACGTGTCGCATACAATTTTCAGTTGTAATATGATTATAATGAATTGTTTTGTGCTTATATTATGAACAGTTTTGTATATTCTACATATCACAGATATCATTTTGCTTTATTACTATAAAAGATTGGCATATTGTTGCAGATATTACAATTTATTAAATGACTACAAGATGTTGTCAGAAAATACCCTATAAACATTACCAACTGTGTCACTGTTATGTCACAAAGTTCATAAAAGTGACACTTAATTGATGAGTTATATTTATGGATTTCCCTGTTGCCACATGGTATTTAAGATAGCCTGTTTGTTTTAATATGTCAGAAATAATTTTAGCATTTAACATTATGCATCTGGTTGTACTTCCGTCTGTTAGAAATATTGTGTATGCTGTGTTTCTTTCAAAGGGATATTAAAACTACTTGGCCAAAATGTTATCAAGAATGAAACAATGTGTAGAGCACAGATTTTAACTTCTTTGGATCAAGGTCAAGGTCACAATTAGTTGTTGTTAAGGAAAATTTCTACAAAACAGGAATTACAATTTTATAACTCAGAACAGTTTGTAAATATATTTTGTACTTTAATGAATTTTAATTTGGAGGAATGAGTAAAGGATCAGAATGAAAACTTGGACAACTCTTACTTTATATGTTTGGTTTAGCATCTTGTCTTTTACTACATGTCCACATATATTACTGAATTTTTATAAAACTGACAATCTTGCAAACCATTAGTCTAAGTTTGAATTGATTTAAAACCATAGATTAAACAATTAAAATTAAAAATTTAACAATTAAAAGATTTTGAAACTTGAGCTGAGCAATTAATGGCCACGATGGCCTCCTTGTTTTAGTATTAACTTGCCTTTTACATTCCATTAATTCCAACAGTTACAATGTGAGAAATCTGTGTATTCCATGTCTTCATTTTATAGAGATTTTTTTTTTTTAAGTAATTTTTTTCTTGTATTTACATAAGCTCTGAAATTAACTGTTTTATTAACTAAATAAAAAAAAACACAAAAAAGTACAAGACTCTTAACAAGTCTCTGTTAGACAAGAACTTTGGAAAATATTTTTAAAGTACCATTCAAAGGTAACTCAATTGTTGCTATATAGACTGCATGTTATGGCTATGTTATATTGATGAATATAACCTGTGATATAAACATTACTTTATGTTGTGCGACTTCACTGGAGCATTGATGTACAATGTATGCTATATTCTTGTTTACTACTTGACTAGCAATGTAATGAGCTTTTCTTTTGTCTTCCTATGTTAAAAGGGTAAAAGAATTTTAAAAAAAGGAAATTGTTATATTTTTTCAAGCAAGTTTAGAAATACATCACCTTTTTGATTTATCAACGAAATATTTAGTACTGGATTATATCATAAATTTATTTTGTATTTCAAGATTAGATGTTTTGATCATTGCGTTGTATACATAATGTAGTGCTTTGTTTTACCTTAAGATTCTAAGATAGAGAATATTGCTTGCTAAAAACCTTTGTTATCTCCTCATCATTTGTTGGGCAAATCTTGATAAATTCAGTAATGAATTATCCTAATAATGAAAACTTGTCCATGTATATCTTCAAATGAGTGAGTGAGTGAGCGAGGGCTATCATGTGCCTCTTGTTTATGGCTTTGTATCATATACTCCTAAAAAAATAAAGCTGATATTAACATTAGAGTTTGTTTATTTTTTGTCAGATTGTGTCATAATTTGCTAGTTGTGAAGGCCACGACTTATTTGCCTGTTTATGTCCCTGTTTATACAGAGATTGAAGTAATACAGGTTTTATTTGCCAAATTATAAAGGCTTATCGGTTTTACTTGTATATCAACTCTGTACATATCATATTATGATTTTCCAGCTTTTTTGGTGGTAGAAGCCTCAAGTGTTCTGAAATACATTGTTTCAAACAAAAGCTGACACCTAGGCAGAACTGCACAGTATGCTAGATGAATAGCTTCCTAACATGAAGGAATCCACCATCTCCAGCAGAATTTATTATGCTCCCCGAAAAAATTTCGGGGGAGCATATAGTCGCCGCCTTGTCCGTCCGTCCGGCTTTCCGTCCGTCCGTCCCCTTTTCTTGTCCGGGACATAACTTTGAAACAACAAGAGGTATCAACATGAAACTTTGTAGGTAGATAGATCTCATTGAGTAGGTGTGCAGTGCACAAGAACCGTAACTCTGCCTTGCCTAATTTTTGAATTATCCCCCTTTGTTTATTTTACACTTTGAACTTTGTCCGGGACATAACTCTAAAAGTATAAGAGGTATCAACATGAAACTTTGTAGGTAGATAGATCTCATTGAGTAGGTGTGCAGTGCACAAGAACCGTAACTCTGCCTTGCCTAATTTTTGAATTATTCCCCTTTGTTTATTTTGACACTTTGAACTTTGTCCAGGACTGTGGCGAAGTTTAATAACTTTCAGTTTTAGGACTGTAGAATTCTATTTCTTTGCCACACTGGAATTTATTTTATTTAAAGTAAAACACAATAATTTCTTGTTAACTTTCTTTATTTTATAATCCAATTATTTTATTTTATTTTACAGACAATATCCTGAATAATCCTCACATGTAATTTTCTCTTAACACAACTAAACTCAACTAAACTATTCCCAAACTAATAACCCCGGTTTCCCATTTCATTCCCTTTATATAGGTAACAATTAACCTGAAAATAGCATGAAACTCGTGATACATGAAATATTTAAGTATCGACTCCGACGGATTCTGACGGAGTTCTTTCAGGTTCCGACGGAGTCATGACTCAACCGGTCATCAACTGACTCCGATAACTTAATTGAATATATACACTCGCTATTTGCGACACTCCCACCAAAGCGAAATAAACAAAGCATTGCAATAACTTCAAAGTTTTAAGTTCAAATTAAAGTGTTGAAATTTAAACAATATTTATCCTGTATAATCTTATTATGTAATAAGAACATTTTCAACTATTCAGAAATTATACAACTGATAATATTCATCTATCATATGTAAATTTGATATTATACTAGTAATTACTTATTACAAAATCATTTCAATCAAAAATGTTTTCTAACAATATCATTTCCAAGTCAATATATACAGAAATTTTAAAATATACAAAATAAGATCAATATTTTCATGGCAGTCTCAAATTCTTGTGCTCATATTGAAAAGCAACACCAGTCTTTTTGACATAATTTAACACACGAACACATTTTTTTAGTTTATTTGTCAAACTCAAAATAGTCACATTCAATATTCTCTCCTAAAACGTATTCTTGTCCTCGACGTATACATAACCTTTGTGTAAATGTAAAGTTCCACACTTTGGTTTTGTATTGAGACGTGGCTAGTTCGATTTGTTGATATTCTGGGTCACTGTCTCCTCCACTAGATTCTCCGTCACTTGAAATAATAACCATATCTTCATCACAAACGTTATTATTGATAGCGTCGTTGTCACTGCCGTCGTCGGAAAGATCTGTGTCTTTACTATCCAAACAACAGTTGTTATTTTCATCAACAATACTTTCAGACGTCGAATTTTCTGTGTTTTGATCATAATGACTGTCAACGTCGACGTCAATATTATCTCCCTCGGAGAAACTTGTCACGACACTATAACTGTCCTCCTTCTCACTATCACTTTCAGTTTCACTGTTTTTAATTTCTGTATTTTGTCCAGAATCCTTTTGGTTGCCATTTATTCCGTTGACGTTAACGTTGACGTTAACGTCACTTATTGAGTCACAAATATCATTCT